CTGATCTTTTACCCACCAAATTGCTTTGCTTGTTCTAAATGCGCCGCGCTTCACTTTGAAATGTACTGTTTTGTGAATGACTCTTTAACCGTTTTTATTCAAAAGTTCCCTCCACCGCAGCACACATGGCTTGTTTGTGTGCGTGGGCTCAGAAAGTCGTCGTCGTCTGTTTTCGCGCCGTCAGTCTGGCCAACCAACAATAGACCGTTGATTGAGTGATCAGGTTCGCGCTGGTAACTGGTCACAACTGAAGCCACCTGTAGACATCACTGAAATTCTCCACTCCACCTTCTGCAAGGATGGCCAGCAAACGTCCCGTCGAGGTGGCAACCCTAACTGAGACCACAAACACTGCTGTCAACCTGCTGTCATCGACGCTCAAGCCGGACGCCTCCACTGATGCACCACCATCCACATCGCCCAAACGCTTCTGCACCGGTCTTCGTTCGGACAGCTTCTTAGCTCGACCTGAAACCTTTCACATTGGACCGAGCATTGTTATGCGCACTCAGAGGAATTACGACACCCAAAGATATGAACTCAATAATGATTTGATATTAGAAAAGAACATTGACCAGTTGGTGCCGATCGAGGCCTGGGGCTTGCCAAAACCACTGGTGAAGTACTACCATGACAAAGGCATTTGCAAGCTGTTTCCGTGGCAGGTCAAGGCACTTTGTCAGCCTGGGGTGCTCTCTGCTAGCCGAAACCTCGTCTACTCGGCGCCTACATCTGCCGGCAAGTCCATGGTCGCCGATATGTTGATGTACAAAACTTTTTTCGAAAAGAAGAAGAAGGTCATCATTATCCTGCCTTTTGTCTCCATCACCCACGAGAAGGTAGACTCCCTCAAGAAGGTTCTCCAGTTTACGGGCATCACTATGGAGTGCTTTGCAGGGAGTCTCAATCCACCGGGAGGCTTTTCTCGAGCTGATGCAGCTGTGTGCACCATTGAAAAGGCGAATAACATGATCAATCGGTAAGATTCATTTGTTGCATTTTGGAAGTTCTACAACTAATTTTGTTTTCAACAGACTCATCGAAGAGGACAAACTCTCCGACGTTGGCCTCGTCGTTGTCGATGAATTGCACATGCTGGCTGACTCTGGTCGTGGCTATCTTCTCGAGCTTCTACTTTCGAAATTACTTTTCGCCACCAGCTCTGCCGACTCCAAAGCTCATTCTTTGCAAATTGTCGGCATGAGCGCGACTATTCCAAATCTTCCAGTTATTGCCTCCTGGCTAAATGCCGCTCTTTTCGTCACAGACTATCGGCCTGTTCCGCTTACCCAGCTAGTCGTTAGAGGGGAGGAAGTTTTGAAAGTGGTCCGAAGCTCATCTGAGTGTGTATCAGACTGGTTAAAGCCTGTCGAACCGGCGGTTGACATTGCAAGTTTGGAGATCAGCTCGTCACCGGATGATGCTCCTTTAGTTTACTACGCCATGGAAACCCTCTCCAAAGGCTTTTCAACACTAGTCTTCTGTTCCACTAAGCTGGGCACTGAGAAGATGGCATTGACTATTGCAGAAAATATTTACGAGTTTGGTGCCAAAAAGAAAGAAAAGATGACCCAACAGGCAGAAGCTCTCGGAAATGCTTGTCGAGCAAATCTGTGCATGAAGAAAATCGGGGAACTGTGGACGGCACTCTTCGGAATGCCAATGGGCCTTGACTTGACGCTGGCAAAGACGGTCCGCTTTGGAGTGGGATTTCACCATGCAGGCATGAGTCACGAGGAAAGGTTGCTCATTGAGCGAGCTTTTCGCGATGGAACGATCAAAGTACTTTGCTCGACGACTACACTATCCGCCGGTAAGTTAGTGTTTACAATTATTATCACACTCGCTTTTTGATGAAACTAACATCATTTGTTTGTAAAGGTGTAAATCTGCCTGCTAGGAGGGTACTTATCAACGGTCCCTACGACTTCAGCGGTGCTTTCTTACCAGTGGCCACCTATCGACAGATGATTGGTCGAGCTGGTCGCGCCGGAATTGACACTCTTGGAGAGGCGATGCTCTTCTGTCGGCAAAAAGACTTTATGAAGGCAATGAAGAATCTGGTTGGCGCACAGCTGCCACCCATTGAAAGCTGTCTGGCAAAGAGGGAGCGGACCATTGTAAACTCCACTCAATCATCGTCATCACAATCGAATTTTATGTCTGCATCACAAGTCTCCCAAATGTCACTTTCGGAGGCGGCAAACTCTCAACAGTGGACTGAGAAAAAATCAACCTGTCTGAAGAGGGCAATTCTGGAGGTGGTCTCCAATGGAACGGCAAGGAGTGAGGACCAAGTAGAGGAATACGTCAAGTCGACCTTTTACTCCACCTCTAGTCAACTCCTAAAAAGGGCAGATGAGTGGTTGCCGACGCCCTTTCTCACGCCTGATGATGCCACAATCAGCAGCAGCTGCAGAAGTTCACATGAGGAAATTAAGAGCGCCATTAAGGAGGCGTCTCTGGACTTGATGAATGAAAAACTGATTCACGGCGGAGAGGAAAAGGAGAATCAGGAGGAGGAATCAGCAGACAGCAAGAAGAGCCTTTCAGTGTCGATACTGGGCAAGGCCATCGTCGCTAGTGGCATCGGACCAGACGAGGGACAGTTCATTCAACGGGAGCTCAATCGTGCTAGAGAGAACATGAAGCTGAAAAATGAGCAGCACATTGTCTACTTGGTAAGTTCACTTTATATACTTTGCACACTTTCCATCTACTAAGCTTAACATTCTCATTTGGCAGGTCACACCGCCGTACATTGCCCGGAACCTTGACCTCGACTGGGATCTGTATTTGCAGATTTACGATGATCTAAACGATGCCCAACGCCTGGTGGGAGACCTTGTGGGCGTCTCCAAGGCCTTCATTATATGGAAAAGGAACTGCGTCCTGCCGGAGAGCAAGCGATCCAGTGCTGATATGGAAAAGTTTCTTGTTCACCAGCGCTTCTACGCCAGCCTGGCGCTCTGTGATCTCGTGCAGGAGGTGCCGCTGAAGACGGTGGTCGACCGGTACAATATCAACAAGGGCCATGTACAGTCGCTGCAGCAACAGGCGGCCACCTTTGCAGGCATGCTGGTGGCCTTCTGCGAGAGGATGGGCGAAGACTGGCAGCAGATGGGCGTCACCTTCAGAGAGTTTCAGCCGCGACTAGCCTTTGGCGTCCACGCAGACTTGGTCGACCTAATGCGTGTCTCCTACCTGTCCACCACAGTGGCAAGGCAACTCTTTGACGGAGGCATCAAATCGCTGGCTGATTTTACAACTAAAAGCCCAAGTGAAATAGAGTTTGAACTTATTAAGATATCAACTCGCGAGGCGAAGAAAGCCGAAGAAGCAACTGGCAGATATCAGGGAACACAAAATACCTCAACGCAAAGCGATGCAGATTCGGCTTACGGTACTCAAAGAGAGGAGGAAATTCAACCACTTTACGTCCCTTGCCTCGGTCGATTCGTGCCCGTCAGTGAGCTGACGAAGATGATCATCAAGGAAGCACGATATCAACTTGAAGCTGAATCCACTCACAGGTTTGATTTCTTTGAAAAAGCAAAAACTACTACTGAAGAAACTGGTAATCATGTAAATCACAATGGCGAAAACGAAGAGAAAACAACTTTTCAAGAGGGTGATAAAGACTAAAAATGAGTTCCTCTACAAACTCTGTTATTTTGTACTGTACAAAATCTTTATTTTATTACACCTGTTTGCACCCCCTTCCTTAAACGCGCCGTATACCACTTCTCCCGATCTTTGACGAGTGTTTTGCCAAAACTGACATTTCACGAAATCCCATTCACTGCCCCTGACGATGATAGGTACTAGATATCCAAATAATTAATTGTTGTAGTTCTAAATCTAGGAATGTATCGAATACTGTACAAAGATAAATACACTGAACTTTATTTTTCTTTTCTTTGTGTTGTGTCAAAATGACGAGACTACAACTTTCGGTCGCAGGTATCATCGTCCTTGGCTTGGTTGTCGTTGTAGTCAGCTCAGCTACTCTTCTATCCCTACATCGTGTTAAACGAGGTGCCTGGTCGATCGCTAAAACCGGCGGCAAATATGGGTGGAAGGCGTTGAAAGGGACGGGCAGTGCATTATCAAGCCTAAATGATGCTTCCATGAACGTCTTTCAGGCGGTGGACAACTTCAATAGCGTGGCCAACGTCTTTCGAAAAAGAACAGATGCAGACGATGATCAGGGTGATCAAAAGGCAATGTTAGGCAACAATAACCAACAGCAGCTGATGGAACAGATACAGGGACTGGCAAGCGGGAAAGAGGAGATGCCCAAAGTGGCTGCACACAAAGAAGCCAAGGTAGTGGAAGAGCCAATACACAAGCGGTACTTTACGGAGATACTCTGCGTCGTCCTCTTCGTTAACTTGCTCATCTTTCTCTGGTTCATTAGAGGCAGAAATTCTACTCCAAGTGCACCGTCTCTGAAAACTGGATACTTCACTCAAGAGCAGCTCCCAAGAAAACGGAAAAAGTCAAGGGGCAGTAGGAAAAGAAGTAGAAACAAAAGAAGAAAGAAGGCCAGCAAAGGCGGATAACGATTTCCATTGTTTCTGAGAAAAGTTGACATGATGCCCTACATAAGGTCGTTTAATTTAGTCGCCTATCATTCATTGCAGTTCAATTGATTTCGATCTATCAAACGTTTATGAATCATTTGCTACAGTTTTTTTTAAATCCGGCCGCCGCACGCCGTACGTCATTTCTAAATGAGTTCAAACATGGGGGGACTTGCAAAACAAATCATTTTCGCACGCTTCTCTGCTGAGTAACTAGGCAGGTGGATGACGCCTTTAAGGACTCTATCGCCCCGCCAACACCGCTTTGTCGTCTCGCTGTCGGCAGCTCGACACGTGTGCTCTCTTTAATCTCTTCTCACTTGCAAGAAGCGATCTCGGGAACAACAGCTTCTTCA